GTTTTATTTCTTTTGTCTAGCCTGTGGGGGGGGGGGGGGGTTTGTCCCATTCAAGATACCAAAAGAAAAGAAAGAAAAAAACAAGTAATCAACCAATTTTTTTATTTTAATTCTTCAAAATATAAATATATGCTTTAGAACTGAAATTAAACAAGGCATTCCTTTTTTGTATTTTAAATTTTAATTCTTCAAAATCTAAATTAAAAAAAAAAGTTGCAAAATGGTGTAAAGTGAAAAGATTTGACCGTTCTTGTATATTGCTTTTTGCACAACTCAAGCCAAACTCTTTATTTCCTATAACCAGTTATTAGGGGGGGAAATTTCAATGCTACTTTTATTTTCATTTAAGTTTCTAGGAGGGATGAGAATTTCATGAAAGTTCATAAATATGATTTCGAAAAGGCAGTTAACGATGCATATGATATTCATAATTGCTTTCATTTGACATTGTTTAAATTCTTTTATCTTTTATTGTCATATATAAAATATAACCCAAGCTCTTTATGTTTATGGGGCAGTGGCGGACTTAAAAAATATTATTTATGTCTGTATATTTAGGGATGGAGGTTCGGAGACAATGTCCCCGAATTTTTCTTTTTAAAGAAAATTTTAAATGTTTTAAAAAATAAAAGAATATAAATAAAAAAGAAAAGAAAACTTGAACTTACTACAAAAATAAAGTACATTTTGGGTCCTAAACAAAAATTACGGGACTCAATTTAATTCCTTAGAAAAAAAATTCACTCGTTATCTCTCTGAATTTCAAAATAGACCCATGTTAGTCTTTTTGAGGGATTAATGTAGGTCTTCTTTGAATTTCAGAGGGGCCACAATTTCGACTAACCGAATTTATTTTGGAATTCAAAGGGACTGAGAGTTGACTTTTTTTTTCTAAGAGTTTAAATTGGGCTATGTAATTTTTATTGAAGACTCAAAATATATTTTATTTTATTTTCAAAAATTTGTGTGTGCACTTGCACACACTTACAACAATACAGGTCCGCCGATGTTATGGGGTAACCTAGAAACTAAAACCATCCATTTTTGGTAAAAAGAAAACCTCATTAATCATAGATAATCCCTAGTTTTATTTTTTGACAATATCATTAGAATTGAATAATAAGTGTTTTTAAATTTAAAATAATTTTTTAAAATTATAAATATACTCAGACAATAATTTAAAAAATTAAGTATCAACTGAAATTTATATATTCTAACACGCGCCCATATTTTCAATATTTTTTCACAAATGATTGGTTAATAATTATCATTGTCATCGACTAATTTAAATGCTTAATATTATTATTATTATTATTATTATTATATACATAAATTTTTTATATATAATAGTTAATATTTAATAATATAAAATATTATTATTTTTAACAAATTTTAAAATAAAATTAATAATTAGTAGAGTTATTAATTCTTGTCAAATCAATTTTCTTTATATAGACAGCATTGCATTAAAATAGTAATAAAAAATCCTATTAACAATTAAGTTAAATTATTTATAATTTTCATAAATTAAAAATTATTAAAAAATATTTTCTTTATTAGTTCTTTTCTATTTTTATTTATTTATTTCCTAAGATATATCCTAAATTTATCGATGACTCGATTAGTTCAATTTAAATATAATCTGACTCATTATAGGAGACGAATTTTCGAAAATCAGTTTCTCTCTTCTTAGAACTTGAACTTAAAACTTCCGATTAATGGTAACAAATTCCTTACCCTTTAAACCAATTTGAAAAGGCATAGTTTGCTTTGGGGATGGCATGCGAAGAGTGATATGCTATGCATAATCTTTTCCCTTTCTGCCATTTTGTAATTTTTTATTTATTCATGCTGTGATGGTCAAAAAGCCAATCCTATGAAGTATTAAAACTCTTTAATGGTTTCTTTTATCATTTATAGGACCACCGTGTTTCATCTTTGGTTAGTTGAAGACTGAAGTAGGTGGATCGGCGGAAAGCATCAAAGCTTACATAGATAACGGGTTTTATAAGAGTTATGTTGTAGTAAAAGTGATTGTGTAATGTTATACAGATTCGTTTTGCGTGTCATAGTTTTTTTTTTTGTTTCAAAAAGTGTGGACTCCACAAAATGTTGTGTGTGTAGAAAAAAATTGTGTCATGTGAAATAATAAATGTAAATCCCATACATAAAAGGGTAATACTTTTATAAGAAAAGTACTATTTCCTATGGAAATAGATTCTTTTATGTTAAAAAAAAAAAGCATGAAATGATAATGTGGGAAGATCACAACTGTACAAAGTGAATCAATGGTATAATTTTGTAACTATCTATTTTAATATTTTTTTCTTTTCTTTTATTACTATTGATCCACATTTATATGATTATGATTCTCCATATGACCATATCATGTTTTTTTTAACCTAAGAGGATTCAGATCCATTTCCTACACTCATATTTTTCAAATAGGTCCTACAAGATTATTTTTTTCCATCTTCAACTCTTTTCTTTCTCCTATTTATTGTTTGGATAGCAAATTAGATAAAATCATCTATTATCACATGCTTGATAGGATTGGAAAAATGTTATACCCACTTAGGTACAACGGTGGTACCAAAGATTTATCCGTCTGATAGCATCGAAATTCATACCCACCGCCAAACTTTCATGATCTTATTTAATGTATTATCCCTCTATCAAACAGATTGGCCTGAAAATTTTGATTCTTGTAAGACCTACATGGAACTTGAAAGGTACAAGACTTAGTTTAGAATTAACCGCCTCAAGTTTAGGTAAATGAAGTGGTTTAGTTAGGGTCGCTTGTTGGACTCAAACGCGTTGAACTGGGCCCAGATTCCAATTATGTGCTCCTTTATAACATATATATATATTCAGCCGTTGGCAAGTGGGATGGAGAGTACGAGGACAATAAAAGCCCATGGCCCATGACCCATGAGGAGCATTTTACACTCTTTTTCAGAAAATGAGCATGACTTTCCCTTGTTGGGGTCCATTTAAGTGTGAATAAAATGTAAATATAAGGGAAGAAATCTCACAAAAAGAAGACTGGGGATATTCTAACTACCAAAATTTTTTACTACTAACTTACTACCCATCACATTACCATTGGATCAAAGAGAGAGAATGTTAAAAAGTTTTTGAAGAGAGAGAAAATATTAATCTAATGGTGATTAGATAGGTAGTAAGTTGGTAGTGGAAAATTTTGGTAGTGAGAATATCTCTCCTCCAAAAAGAATACATAAAATGAATAGTTCATTTACATAAAAAAATTGAATAAAATCATTCTTTTACATTAATTTTGGGATTTATTAGTCTTATGTCATAGAAGAAAAGATGTCTCCAACCATAAAGACTAACATGTAGTGGGTCTTATTAAAAAAGAAAAAATAAAATAAAATAAAATAGAGCCCACTGTTCTTTTAAATCATTAGGAGAAAGATATTATCTTATGTAATATAAGACAAATAAAGCCCATTAACTTTTTATACAGATGATTTTTGCATTCCAGATCTATAAATTGAACATGACTTTCTCTTGGAAGAAAATCAAAATCTTCAGGGACAAACACCGGGACACAAGAGTTGAGGAAAGAATGATCAAACAAGGTTCTAAAATGTAGTTTTTTTTTTTTTTATGCAGCTCGTAGGGAGAAGCGATAAGCTATTAATATCTTCATATCTATACTACTTCTCCATGTATCAGATTGTGAAAAAGAAAGACATGTCAGTCTCTTAGATATCGCAAATCCAATAAATCATCAAATAATGTGGTACTTCTGTATACAATCAAAAGAAGAGATAGTATTGCGTGGTAGTTTGAGTCGCACATCTACAGTGTGGCTTGGTTTGTTGTATAGTTGAGCCCCACATTGTAAACAGATGAAGATGTTAATATAAGCCAAGTGTATAAAATAAACCTTATAACCAACATTTGAACATACTTACCTGGATGGGGTCAATGGGTGATCAAGAAGGCCCATGGCCTAGGCTAGTGACCTCCATTGCACTTAGGAGGGGTGCTAGTTTAAGGTCTCCTCAAGTAGGAGAGCCTACATCATAATTTGTGGTAGTGGGGGCCAGCGTTCGCGCGGCCCCTTCTAATCTGAGTCGAAAATTTCTTTATATTTAATTGTTGTTTCGTGTCATCCGTTGTTGCATTGTTTAATGTTATTATTATTTTCTACATTTTGCTTACCATTAGTTTACTTACGAATTTTAATGGTTTACCTTATTGGCTTATGGTGGGAAATCCATTGATGTCATTTTTAATCATTCTCATGATGTAGGTATTATCCCAGAAGAGCATGAGCAACACAAAACTGAATCAATTTAGTAGTTAGTTTATTGAGATGTACTTGTCTACTAGAGGACCATGGTATAAAACCAGGTACTAGATTCCGTTGTATATTATTATATGTAGAAAGTAAGTATACGAAACACACATCATGTCACTACATTCCATTTCTATCCAATCCATGAATGTCATTTTGGAATTTTGACTCTGTCTTTCCTTTCAAACCCGATATTCACCAAGAAGAGCATACATTAATGTCATCAAGACAATATTTCTGCAGATTAAAGAAGAAAACAAAAAAATCATCCACGTAGTAAACAAAATTCACTTTCTTTTCTTCTCTTCTCTCTTAACTCCAAAAATTCTGTACCCCCATATCTTCTGTTTTAATCAGTTAACTTTGTTTAAACTTGCTTCATATTAGTGTTTATTTGTTTGTTTTGAGATAATAACAAAATAAAATCTACTTTAGCAAAACTTGCTTCACAATAACAAAAACTTGCTTCACAAAATAAAATCAAGATTTAAGAGAGGCATTTATAAAAGCAATCGACTTTACATAAACGTTCCAATGAATTCATAGTAACACTTGAATATCAGGGTTCTGAAAACAAACTGAAAGAAAACACATAACATAAGGAAAAACAATAACCAGAAAAGGAAGAGTTGAATACTTATGTAAACACCACACCACTCCCTAAATCAAGTTAAGATTTTTTAACTTTAGGTTCAAGTCCTAATGCCTTTCTGGTTTTGCCCACAAACAAATCTCCTGACTTGATCATGCCAGGAAACCTTCCAAGGACTGTCATGAATGGGAATTGTGCAACCCCTTGTTTTCTTCCAAGTGAAACAATAGATATTGGTGGTTGTGCCTTGTAAATTCCCAATTTAGGCTCTTTGCCTCCTCCTTCTATCAATAGCTTCAGGTTCTTGGCAACCAATTGAGCATGACCTTGTGCATACACCCCTTGTTTGATTTCCTGTGGCATAGATTTCACATCAAAACATCTTGCATTTATTAGGATTCCTTTCAAAGATATTTAAAATGTCACAGATTTAAAAGATAGAGCCAAGTTACTGACATTCAAATATCCTCAGACAACAAGGAGACTAAGTAACACAATTACAGAAATACTTTAATCTCTAGAGTTAAGGATTTTAAATCCTTAATTAAGATAATGAACAAGGAAAAGAAAAAGACAAACAAACAATAACAGACATGGGCATGCAGTGAAACCTCAAACCAACTGTTTAGCTATAAGAAGGGTATTAGAAATTAAATGATGCCATGCAACATGAATAAGTCAGAATGAAATTAGGGGAAATTAATATTCATGGATTTGACTCAATCATGAATAATAAGTAATTAAATTGGTACAAATATTATTCTTATTTTTTGTAAACCTCTGCTGTCATTAATAATAAGTAGAACTTATAACCAACGTTGAACAGACCAGACAACTCAGCATGATTCATTAGCCAACTTCATTACCAACAGACAAAAGTTGACTGCACCACATGTGTATATCATAGAATGAGGAGAGAAACTAAGAAGACTAGCAACTTGCTGAATTTGTTATAAATGGTTTGATTAGGATCCTTCCTACAAAAAAGAAGAAAAAAGAAGTCAAAATGACTTGGATTTGGCTAGCACTTACTTGAACATCTGTAATATCTCCAATTGCAAAAATGTTGCTCCGGCCCTTAACTCTCAAGTATTCATCAACCTTTATCCTTCCATCAGCATCCAAGTCATCCATTAAAAGAGTTTTTCTAAGCCATGTTGAACCAAGCGGTTTCCCTGTGCATAGAAAATGAGCATCTGCTTCAATAGTCTCTCCAAGTGAAGTTTGATATGTCCTATTATCCTCTGTGAAGGAGTCCAAGTCCACTGATTGCTCTAGTCTCACATCAACTTTCTTTGATTGAAGCCACTTCAAAGTCTTCCTTGAAGCCTTTGGCCCAATGTATTCCAGCAACCTTGATCCTTTATGCACTATTGTGACCTTCTTATCAGGAAAATCAACAGCAATCTCTGCCGCAAGCTCAACACCAGTTGGACCTCCCCCAACAATCAAAATTGAACTTGCAGATTTTATCTTTGTATTTTCTGCCAGTGAAAAGACTCCTCATCACTCAAATGAAATAGACACATTGAATATCATTCACACAACATAATCCAAAACATGCTATAGCAATTTATTATATGTTAGAACTTTGATTAGGAATGCACAATCATCACAGTAGATGAAATATCAAGATTCATTGATATTTCATAAAATTGAATTTTATAAAATTGAATTTATAAAAGAAGGCGAATCGGAGCAGTGGTTAAGCTGTTATTTTATGACCGAAAGGTCATGGGTTCGAATCGAGGAAACAGTCTTTTTGCAATTGTGCAAGGATAAGACTGCGTACAAGGATTGCCTCCACCCCACACTCGCTAGTCGGGTTTAAATGGGAGTGATTTTTTTTCCATCTTTGTGCAAAGACTATATAGAGATACCCTCAAGTATTACCTCCTTTATATTGATCAAGTCTTTCACTCCTGGTTTTGGGGATTGGTTCAGTGTGGCCAGTGGCAATAACAAGATAGTCATAAGCAATCTGACGGCCATCTGCAGTCAAAACTTCAGTTTCAGATATGTTGATGGCACTGGATATAACAAGGTCCCCTTTTGTGAAGTATTCTCTATGGTTGATCACTGTCCTTTCTGCAAAGGATGGCTCAACCAATCCCCTCAAACATGCCCATGGAATCTCATAATATTCCTTCCTGTGTTTAATAGTTCTCAGTCAGTGCAACAATTTACAGAACAAGTTCTATGTTTGTGCATGAAACATAATAAAGCCTCCTACTCTCTCAAATCAAATTCTAAGAGCATAGCCAGCTAGAGTAGACTGTAAATGTCATATCAAAATAACCACTCAATTTAGATTTGAAACTACTGATAAATAAAACTATACAACATTCAATTAAACATAGATATTAAGAGCATGAATTGAACTACTAAGAAACCATGATATTGCTACATATACAAAGAAAGAACTCACGGATCAATAAGGGTGATGTTGGCATGATGTTGTAGACTTTTTGCGAGGATGGCACCAGCAACACCACCTCCTACGATGACAACTTTCTTCTCCACCATTGTTTTATGCTTTCACTCACCTGTGGTTGAAGTTAACTATGTAATGATTGTTATGTTCTCAAAACAAGATAAGGCAACAGCATAAATAGATGTCTTTGCGTCATTGCATGTATCATCAAAGTGAAAATGTCAGCATTTGAATTTGGACATTAAAACGACCAAACACAAATGGTAGATACCATCCTAGTTCACAACCTGGATGCTGAGTTCAACTTTTCTTTTTACAATTTCTTAAGAAAAATATTATTTAATAAAAAAAACAATAAAATATTTGTGAATCCTTATGATGTTGGACCCTCAAAAGAAAGTCCAGTTGCCAGCTTATATAAGCTGTGGCTTGTTTGATAAGAATTCCTTGAGAAAATTATTCAAATAAAACGGCAAAAATCAAAATCATAATACAATCTTTTTTCGTAATGCAACGACCTAAAAATTAACTCAAACATTAAAATATTCCAGAGGGAAAATAAAAACAAAACAGTATACAAAATAAGAATATAAATTAAAGACCAAATATTTACGAGAAGCCCAATAAGAAAAAGGGGGGGGAATATTATTTTTTGTTATTTTGTTATTTTTCTATATCCTATATTAAATTCTAAAGGCCAAAGATTTAAATCGTAGAAAGGAAAAATAAAATAAAATGAACGTAGTTTGGAATAAAAATAAAAATTTAACATTTAATTTCTTATTTTCCTTAACAAATAAAACTAAAATTAAATAAAAATATATTTACAATAAAGAAAAATACTTCAAAAATTGATATTTTTTTATATAAATAAAAATGGAAATCAAATAAAGTTATGATGATTTATTATAAAAAAAAAACTCTATTTATGTTATTTTTTCATTTTTAATATTCTTCAATTTTAAACGTAAAAAAGTTGATCAATTGTTTTTGAAGAATCTAATTCTAGAAAATCTCAAAATTGACAAAAAGTTCTAAGATTTAGTACTTACAAAAAATATCAGGAAAATGACATTATTTACGCGAAAATATAGTTCTATTAAAAAAAAAACTTCATCAATTTTACAAAAATAAACTATCGAAAGAAATCTTATCATTTTTTAAAAAAAGATAAAATTCCCCATTAGACCATAAATTCTACAGAAAATCCATAACTTTTTTTTAATTAACACAGCGCCAATTTTCATACTACAACTACATTTAAAAAAGAGGATTAAACTTTTTTTGTATTTTTTTCTTGTTGATAACAAAACAAGACATTTACTCACAAAACAAAATGAACAAAAATAATAGGAAATTCGATACCAATTGACCCAATCATTTCATGAAAAAGTTAAACGCTACATAAACAAATTACAGAGCCTCCCAAAATAATTAACCGTTAAAAATATCATCTTTTACAATTTTAACAAGTATCTAAATAAAATTAAAAATGTATTACCGAAAAAAATAATAGAGTAGGGGAAGAGGGAACAAGGTAGATGAGAATCACACTTTGCCTCGTCCTTCCCTTTGGCCGAATCAATCTCCCAAATCACATCATTTTTTCTGATGATTAGAATAAAAATGGGAAAATATCAATAATTACGTGAATCAACTAGTAAGATATTATTTCAGCTTAGTAAGTAATTTTGAGTTCGAGTTTTGTACATGTATCTATATTAAAAACTTGGTAGGGTTTATGGTTCTGTTCAACTCGATCGAATTAATAAATTAATTAATGAATCGGTGAAAAAAATTTCAAAACAAATGGTTACATTTCCAATCAAATCAGAATTACTTTATTAATTACTTTTTTAAAGTTGACCTGCTAATAATACAGAAATAGTGTGTATGATATTTTTATTTTCTTCCTTTTATTTGGATAAAGTTTGATCAAAATGAAGTGTTCACACTTTTTTTTCCCTTCTCTTTCCAGTGTGAGCGAATAGCTGTCACGGAGTTGGAGGCAATGAAATATATCCTTAGCGCATTGTGATTGCATTCTGGCATAAGTTTCTGGGACCTTCTTAGTATAATAGAATTTTTTTTCTCTCCATTCTTCCTATGACCGAAAGAAAAAAAAACTATTTCCCACTAGTATTCATCCTATAATAAGTTGAGAATTGTGAGTTTGATTCAGTCCAAACTTGTTTAGTTTAGGATTAGATTATTATCCATTACTTTCATCAGCCTATGACTAACCGGGTGGAAAATTGAATTTTTCTCTTCCATCTAGATGAGTTGGCCTTGGGATTCTTATCATGAACATAACAATATAAATACTCAACGAGAATTAATACCAAAAGTTGATGGGACATCTGGAATGAGTTGGATAATCACTCAGCTTTGTCATGCCTAAGAAAATGCCAATAAGTTTAAGGGGTGTTTGGTATAACTTTTTTGGTTAAAATGGTGAGAAAGTGGGATGAAATTTTTTTTTTTTTTTTATCGTATTTGATATAAGTAAAAGTGAAAATAATTTCAGAATATTTTTTCTCCGTCATTTTATTTTTAACTACACATTTTCAAAAAATAATACTATACCATTCATAGTATTATTTTTTTCCCACTAATTGAGAAACGTGTAACATTTTGAGACGAAAATGCTATGGAAAAATGAATGTTTGATGACTGACAAGAGATTCAACATTTAAAATGATAGGTAATTTTGTCATTTCGATTCAGATTCCCATCAATATTTTACATTCAACCAAACATAGAATCAATAAAATTAATCCAATATTCCCGGAAAAATTTTCTAGACAGACATCCACCCTTGTAAAAATAAATATCTTTTTTTCCCAAAAATTTCTCACCATATTTCCAAAAATCTTTTTTTCCTCGCTAAAAATAAATATCTCCTCTACCCAACACTCCAGATTATTTATTTTTGTTACAGATTCTTCTAGACAGACATCGACCCTTGTAATTACATTGGCAAATTTTTAGTCTTTAAGCTAATGATTTTAATTCCGTATTTGTAAACTTCCAACTTTGATTACAAGGTGCCGGTCGTTAACATAATTATCAATAGAAAATTCTTCATAATTTTAATATTACACAATATTACTTAACGACTCTTTTTCTAAAAAAATTTATAATTCGATATAGCACACAGAATTCTCTAACCAAGTCAATGATCAACATGCTAAAACAATGCAGTATTTATATTCCATGGAATGTGTACACCCCAGACCCCACCATCTATATGAGTTTGGTTTGGTTAGGTTGGTGAGAAGAGAACTTAAGAAGGGACAAACATGCAGATATATAAAAGAGGCATGTAGTATATATCAAACATTTTGCAGATAAACCAACTACTCATCCAATCAAATTTATCAAACCAAATATGTCAATGCTACAATAGTTCAATAGTAATATCTGTATCCCTCTTCTGACTCACACAATCACATCTCAAGAAACACCCCTTTATCAGAATAAAAATAATTTACATATGGTACCCTAGACACAACTGTTGCTATTGTCCACATGTTACTGTAATCAGCCTCTTGCCAATGCATAGGTAAGACTACCTACTATTGACCCTTCCCTGAACCCTGTGTAGGGAGGGAGCTTTATAGCACCAGATTGCCCTTTTTACATATAAGAACAAACTGAAGATATACCAATATTGTACACAAACTACGAAACAGATTGATTTTGTATCCACACCATGCATAATATCGAGTCAAGCTAGCAAAACTTAAGGGTTGAGTCCCATATGTTTTCTTGTTTTACCAACAAATAAATCTCCAGATTTGATGATGCCAGGAATTCTTCCACAAATTGTCATTAATGGGACCTGTGCCACCGCATCTTTCCTCCCAAGTGAAACTATTGCCAATACTGAATGTGGCTTGTAAGTTTCCATCCCAGTGATCCCACATTCTTTTGTTCCCTCAATGATCAGCCTCAAGTTCTTTGCAACCACTTCAGCCTGCTTCTGTGCCAAAAACCCTTGCTTGATTTCCTGTTGTATATATTTACATTAAAAAACCTCCTATCAGGCATCATGTAAAGAGATTAAAATGCCACAGATTTATAGTGTAGAACCAATTTATACGGGACAAAATCAAAGAGGCTGGTATATAAACAGCCTAAATAACACAATCACATAAATCTGAAGGAAATTATGCATGTACATCCACTTTTAAAATTTGATGTCACACATTAACTCAAGTCTCTAAATTCAAGGATTTTGGACACTTTTCTTCCACAACAAAGCCGCTGAATAGGTCCAAAGAACAATAATGAAAGATATAGACAGGTAGTAAAGCCTCCAGTCAGACAACTGCTCAAGAAAAAAAGGGACTGGAAAACAATATTGCAATGAAGCAAATATCTCAAATAGAATTGGGGGAAAACTAGTTTCATGAGCTTACTATAATTTATTGACAAAGCCAAGTTATTTTTTCCTATTTAGCAGCAATTAACACAAGCAATATTCTCATTCATTTTACATCAATATTTTCATTACTAGTAAGTGGAAACTCAATTCTGCCCAAAATCCAGGCAATAAAGCATGACCTCTCAGCCTAGTTCAAGTGAAACGAACAGAATATCAAGGGAACAGCACAAGACTGAGTAACTGGATGAGTTTATTATAAAAGGGTGTGAATACCTATAAAATTATACTATCATGAAAAGCTGAATAAATTACTAACAGTATGCACTTACTGGAATGTCTGTAATATCTCCAACGGCAAAAACGTTACCCCGACCCTTGACTCTCAATTTTTCGTCCACCACAATCCTTCCATGAAAATCCAAGTCATTCTTCAACACAGTATCTTTTAGCCAAGCTGAAGCAAGCGGTTTCCCTGTGCATAAGAAATGACAATCTGCCTCGATGGTCTCTCCAAGTGAAGTTTGATATATCTTACGTCCATCTGTGGCATTGTTCAAATCAACTGATTGTGCTAGTTTCACCTCAACATTCTTTGATTTCAACCATTTTAGAGACTTCTCAGAAGCTTTTGCCCCAATGAATTCCAGCAGCCTTGATCCTTTGTGCACTAGAGTAACGTTCTTATCTGGGTAATCAACAGCTATCTCTCCAGCAAGTTCCACACCAGTAGGACCTCCTCCAACAATCAGAATGGAGTGAGCAGATTTTATCTTTTGATTTTCTGCCAGAGAAAATGAACTTCATAACTCAAGTGCTGACTATGACAATTCATTACATGGTTGAACCTACTCCATAAAAGCACTCACAAAAACATTATGCTAAAGACTAAAATGAGCAATGTCAATGCATGATATGATTGAAACGAAAACAATAACACAAAATAATCCCATATTGCTCTAAACAAGACCAATGATATAAATAGCAATGTACTTGGAATTCAATCAGTTATTTTTGTGTTCTAATATTTCTTCCATGGCCCTGCAAGACCTCCATGGTCCTTTGTGTTTTTAATAAATACTTAAAACCATATAATGCTTCATTTCATGTAATGAGAGAAAGGCATTGCAGCCAATTGTAATAATTAGGCCTACTTGAATCCAATGGAAACAACCTACTCTCCTCGAAGGTTAGCCATAGCAATAATAATATCAGAAACATTGAAATGCATTCTTTACTACAGATGTAGGCTCAACTCATGAGCTACATATTCTGCATCAGTTTAAATTCATAATTTTTTTTGTTCCCCTTCTTGGTAAAGATATATGTTCAAATTTACCTTCTATGTACTCATTAAGTCTTTCACTCCTACTTTTGGGGACATTATCTGCATGGCCAGTGGCAATAACAAGATAGTCATAGACAATCCGACGGCCATCTGCGGTCAACACTTCGGTTTCGGTCAAATTCACAGCACTGGATATAACAATGTCACCACTGGTGAGGTAATCTCTATGGTTGATCACCAACCTCTCTGCAAAGGATGGCTCAACCTTTGCCCTCAAGCTTGCCCAAGGAATCTCAAAATATTCCTTCCTGGATGTCAATTGCACTAAATCAGAAGAAAGACAGACACACAAAAACAAGTTGACAACAACAACCATGTGCATGGAAATCTAAACACTTCAATCATCAAATGAATAACAAACCTCAAATAATTCCAAAAACACACTTCTCAACCTCAAAATTGAAACTTGAAAATCTGGGAAGTTCCGTAAAGCGATAAAGATTCCAAATTTACACGAGGGTAAAAATTAAATACAGCATAATCTTCAACCCAATAACCCTACCGATTAAAAACAAAAAAGGGGTGCTGCAATTAGCTAAATTCGAATTAAAAATATCAGCTTTAGCATAATTAAACAAGGGGGAATCTTTTTTATTTGATAAAAAAAAAAAAAAAAACTTTTGAAGATAGGAAAAGAAAGAGAAGCTTTTACGGATCAATGAGAGTGACATGGGCATGGAATTGAAGAGATTTAGCAACGAGAGAACCAGCAACACCGCCTCCTAGGATCACCACTCTGTTTCCATCTTGCTTTTCCATTTCGATTCTTTGCTTTCCTTTGTTCCCGGTTCACATTTTTCCACTGCAACTGCTATACACTATTATTTATTTAATGGAAATAAAAAATATATATATAAAACTTTTGCATAGTTGGAACTTGGAATGGCCGACACATTTCCAGATTTTCAGTTTAGTTCAAAAAATGTTTGTACGAAATAATTTATTTTCTATATACACCGACCTCGTATACAGAAAAAGGATTTTTATAAGTTGTACTAAAAAAAAGTTTTGTAAGTGTTATGTTATAGAAAAAATGATTATGTAATGTTACAGAAATTCTGTAACGTGGGTCACACACAAAAAATATTGTGTGGATAAAAAAAATTTTGTGGTCATATTAAACGATGAATATGAATGCAAACTCCAAAGAAAAAGAGAATAAGAGAAAGAGATTTATGAATATTATGTCACATGACAAAGCTTCCATCATGTCACTCTCACAATGCAAGTAGACCCCACCAGTTTTTATAAAAAACTAAAAATAAAAAAGTGATGCACACGTATCGATCCATGTGCAGGAAGCAACAGTGGATTTTATGTAACATAATCAAATGATTTCCCAAAGAGAAAATATGGTTTCATATATTTTTATGTATGTATAGGAGATAAATTTATCTCTTATAATATAAGAAAAAACCTTAATCATAAACTCGTTCTGAATCAGACTAGTCGCGAAGCGATGATCCGATGAAATAATTTCAAACTACAAAAATAATAAACTCATATATATATATATATATGAGAGATTAATGTTTTTTATGTTGTATGAGATAATTTTAAATCTTACACATATATAAAAGTGTGTAAAACTTATATGAATAGAAAGAGAGAAAAAAAATGGAAATCATTATATGTGTAGGAAATAAAGTTCTATCTTGCAATAAGGGTATTCATGTAATAGGGGTATTCATCAACCGATCCAAACCGATTCAAACCGCAGGGACCGAACCGAAAAATCGAAAACCGAAAAAAATGCAAATTTTAATTGGATTGGATCAATTTTTGGATTGGTTGATGAAAGCCGATCCAATATATTAATTCCTCTCTACCTACTCGGGTCTTTCCTCAATCATAGCCCAAAAATTTCTAAACCCAAGACTCATTAATCCATCAGCTAAACCCAAGAAAAAATTTAGTCACATCTCATCAACAAAATTTCATCTGTGTAGAGCTTCATATTTCATTGCCCAAAAAAAAATTTATATTATCATTTAATGATGCTTTTGTATTTCAAATTTTTTTTTTTTTACAAAACCAATATATACAAAAGATGTTATTTGCACAATAATCATGAAACAAATTTTAGGATTTTGAAAAAACCGAAAACTGATACAATCCAAACCGAAAAAAATTGGATTGGATCGAATCGGATTTGGAGAAAAATTCAAACCAAATGGATGATTACATGATCAAACCGAACGGATTGGATCGAATGATTTTTGCTTTCAAAACCGATTTAATCCAGACCGTAAACACCCCTATCTTGCAACAAGAAGAATAATTTTTTTCGCTGCCTCCCTCTTTCTTTCTTTTTCCCTCTCTCCTAGTGGGTACACAATCCACATTAGCTGAGTGTGCAGAAAATACTACTCTCATTTTACATTAGAGTAGTTATCTAATGTTATACAGAGAAGCTAGTGGCCCACCATTAAAGGATATATATATATATATATATATATATATATATATAGAGGCAGATCCTTTGACACTGGTGTCAAATTTCAATTTTGACACCTCATCTCAGAACCGTTAGATTAAAAAAAATCGATTACTCTGATTTGCAAGCATGTGACACCATTGATCTTTTTTGATCTAACAGCTCTGAGATGAGGTGTCAAAATTAAAATTTGACACCGGTGTCAAAGGATCCTACCTCATATATATATATATATATGGATTCTATTTCTCTTATATTGTTGGAGATAAGTATCTCCAATCATAGACACATGGTGAAGTGGAGCCAACCACCTATTAAAAAAAGAAAAAAGTGATTGCACAACATTTTATGTAAGAAGAATATAAAATAGTTATATCATGCAAAATGAGAGAATGATTTTCATATATATATATATATATATATATATATATATATATATATATATATATAGGGTTTGTTTTTTCTAAAGTTACTTTAGATAACTTTATCTAATGTTCACCGAAACGACGTCATTTTGAGGCGAAATTATGGAGTGTTTGTAATTTTAATTTATTTCAGGGTTATAATAGTCTTTATCTTTTTAATTTTTTAATTTTTCAATCTCAAAACGACGTTGTTTCAGTAAACAATAAACAAAGTTGTCTAAAATAATATTAGATATTTTTTTCTCTTATATATATATATATATATATATATATATGTGTGTGTGTGTGTGTGGTAAAATCATTTCTGCAGCCGCTTTACGTACAGCAAAGATAGGTGTATGGTTATGATTTATCACATTTAATGCTTTCATCCTTTGTATGTTATGATTCCTCACATTTAATGCTTTCAAGTATATATATGGTAAGTATTTGATTGCTGCCCTAAACACAAGAAATCAAAGAAGAAAAACTTGAGGTGGGGTCCTTGATTTCTTGTGTATGGAGGAAGGAACAATACTTTTCCCGTAAAAAGAGAAGTATAAAGCCATATATATATATATATAGGGATAAACTAGCCTTATGTCACAGGAAAGAAAACAATCTCCAGCTGATAGTTCGATTTTTGTGCCAAATATTTTTTCTTATTTCCTTTTTGTCATATGTGGACTCCACAAAAAATTTTCTCTCACCGGCAGAAGATAAGAACTCCTATGTAACAGTAGAGTCACTTTGCCCATATATATATATATATCATGTTGTAGGAAACTTGTAATGTCATGTTACTCTCACAAAAAGTGATGGCCCCACTTTGTTTTCTTTTTTCTTCTTTCTTTTTGAGTGAGATCCACATCAAATGTATTAGAGTAACATGACACTACAAGTTTACTACAACATGACATATATAAAACTTATATATATATATATATATATATATATATATATATATATATATGGGAAAACATTTTCTCCTTTTAAAGGAGAAAAATTTTCTCCTACCAAAGACACATAGTATAAGTGGAGCCTACAAAATAGTGAAGAGAAAAAAAATTCTAAGTGGGACCCATTTATACTATGAGTCTTTGGTAGGAGAAAAATTTTCTCCTTTAAAAGGAGAAAATGTTTTCCCTATATATATATATATATATATATATATATATATATATGAGAGAAACTATTCTCATGCTACATAAGATAAGTCTCCCTCCTACACACCCTTCGATAACTGTGCCACTTTTTTTTTTATTTTTCAGGTGATGGAACCTTCAAGTTTGTTTCTATGACATGAGATAACTTATCTCCTTTAACATGAGATTAATAAAACCATATATATATATATATATATATATATATATATATATAAATATGGCTTTATACTTCTGTTTTTACGTAATTTTTTGTTTGATTCATAAACCATAAACCCTAAACCCTAAATGCAAACAAAAAATTACTATTTACGTAAGCAATTTCAGTCAACAGACAATTCCTATGTTACATCGATATGGGACACGATACATGACACTCTGACACGTTAATTCTAAAAATGTTAGATTTCGATATGTTAGGACACATTTTGATATTAAATAATTTTTTTAATTTATGTAGTGTATATTATATTTATTTTTAATAATTTAAAAAAAAATAAAGCTAAACTTATAATATCAATCAATTTTGCAAAGAAACATAAGATATAACAAATATTTATATTAAACTCAATAAAATGCTAATCGTAATCCAACAAATATAATAGTTGGAAATAAAATGCAATGCAACCCAATCTTTGAACCCTTTTTTGAATCTCTGGAGTGTCGGACACGCGTCATGTTTTTTGAAGTGTCGGACACATGCAACTTGTAAATACTATTTTATTTAATTTATTTTTACATGGGAAAAATATTTATCATTTTAAATGACCCAAAATTAAAAATGAAAAAACACACTAAAATAACTTTGTTTCATTAAAAATGACACAACGTTGTGTCATTTATAATGAGACAAGCACTAAACTCTTTTTACATATAATAAATTAGTTTTGAAAAAAATATTCATAAATTCGTGACTTAGATTTATGGTTATTTGTAAAAAAGATAAGTAATTAAATTAATTTGATAATTAACTCAATACCACCATGTCTGTAAAGTTTGTGAAAAATGTAGGTAATATTAGTCATAGTAAAATAGCATAATATACCAAATTATGGTAGTTCAGTTGGCACATGGAAGTTAAGCAGGTGGGGTGAGAGCATATGTTTGAATCTCTCCAGTACCACCTTTGGGAGGGATTTAAAGCCTTAATCCTGGAAAAAATATAGCATTATATTTTGTTTTTTTTTTTATTTCCTTACCTAAAAAAAACATTAAATAAAGGAGCATCAAATAAACCTTGGCAATCAGCACCTACGAGTACGAAGACGCTGGAAGGAGCTTAGAAAATTTTGAAACCTTTTAGAAGCTAAATTTTAACCAAATTGTAATAGTGTCGGTTTCGCAAAACTCGTCCCAAGCTTTTTTGGATCAAGAAAGATAGGGTGGAGCTAAGGTTTCTCCTGCAGCCACATTCCAATCCAAAGCCGAAGACTATGTATGCACCACTTGATTCTGTTAACGTTTTTTTTTAGGGAAAATCATTTTCTTATATTGTTAGAGATTGTTTTTTCATATTATGAGATATCAAAATTTGTGCTATTTTTTTTTAACAAGTGGTGAGACCTATCATTTGTTATGTCTATAGCATGAGAAATGTTATCTCATGTGACATGAGAAAAGAGAAACCCTTTATTTATTTATGTGATCGTATTATCCATAACTAAATAACTAAGCAATAGATTCATAATGCCGAGGGGGTGACACATTTGCTAAGTGGACTTTGTCCAAATAATAAATTATTAAAATTGAAAGGTTTCTAGTTCAATTCCTATATAAAGACAAAGCAACTTGAAATTAATGGTACAGAGAATCATCCTTAGGAAAGGACAACAGA